TTCAGCAGAAATGTCACGCATATCCAAGTACTCAAAACACAGCAATATAAACCACCCCCTAGGTGAAGGAATGATCCTCAGTTACAATGCCACTGCTATGCTAACAGTTATGGTTATTTTCAGGGTTCATCCTTACCTCAATGTTTCTTTCTGTGCAATAGAATGAAGAAACAAAGAGCACAGGGAATGTCAGATAGAATTGCCAGTATACTCACGGGGATTCTTGGTGAAATAGATGGAACATACAGCATGGACTCTAAAACAATAGGGTACTCTATTGCTTCCTGCATCGATCCTCAGACGATGGTGACTACAGAACGCTGAGCTAATGTATTCCACAGCAGGCGATGGAGTCTACTGGCAGGGTCTAATTTGCTTATCTCCTGGGGACTTTAACTGCAAGGTGAGCCCAATTCAACTGAGCATAGCCAATCCTTCAGGAAAAGAGAAGAAGGGAGGGCCACCTACCAGTGGCCCATGATAGCCACTCTCAAGGATTTCACAAGTCTAATAAACTATCTTTTTTTTTTTTTTTTGAGAAAAAGTTATTTGGAAAACTGAAGAGGATTGCATGGTGATCCCCGTCAATTTGGGTTATTTTCCTTTGTTTGGACTTCGCCCTGGTCCAATTATATACACACACACACACATATATATAGATATATACGAATATATATACAAGGTATGTGTTTACATATGCATATGTACTTACCACTTGTATTAAATGGGTACAAAGACAAGTATTATAATAATATAGTTATTGATTCTTAAATAATATATATATGTATGTATGTATAATGTTTACACACAGACACAAACACACACAATGCAAACCTGTAAGATTGTAACAGGCTGCATCCCATGGCCTCGAAGTGCAGTAGGCTCTCCATATCTGTTTGTGTAGGTACAATCCATGATGATCACACAATGACCAAATTGCCTAACAAGCATATTCAGAACATGCTCCCATCATTAAGCATTGCATAGCTGTATTGCTATTCTACTTATCATCAATTATAAATTGAGTAAAGAAGTTGAACAAGGTCATTGAAAGTGAAATGCAAGCTTTCACTTTAGGAACTATGAGGAGGCCATGCCTGCCCTTCCTGGGTGACTTGAGTAGATATTCTAAAGAATATTGCTCTGAAAGTACCCGGACTCCAATGTTCTGTTTCTACCTGTCCTTTCTCCCCCTCCTACAACACACACTCAGAGCCACTAAAAGAAGCATGATGATCGGAGAGATATAATCTGAGGTAATGCAGGAAGCTTTTGCAAGGAGATGAATGTCAAGGCATTATAACAATTGTATGGTTCTGTAATTAAGAGAAGTAAAGAAATGATTCATGGTCATCAAAGAACATGAAATGTAAGTTGAATTTTACTTGTATTTTTGTGTTTTCATGTACTCTCGTGTTTTGTGTTTTTTCCTGGTGCTGATCTTATGATTTTTTTTTTCCTCTGGGGATATGAGAGAGCTGCAATGCGTGGAGGGGATAGAAATGTTTTCATTCCCAGCCCAGCTCCTACCTCTGCCTTGGTGTAAGGCTGTGAACTCGGTAAGGTCGGGAGAGGCTATGTGTCGTGCTGGCATCATTTGGGGGTCATTTCACCGTGGAAAAAGATAATCCTCAACCTACAGAACCGTTAATGTGTGACCGGCCAATGGTGTGATGGTTAAAGGCACTGGACTCCCACATGTCCAACTATGGTCCAAGTCGCAGACTAGGCAGCTTGCTTTCTCACTTTCTCTCTCTTTCTCTGTCTTTCTCTGGTCAAATTAAAGAATAAAAATAATAAAGTTAAAAAATATAATTTTTAAAAAAGAAATATTAATGTAAAACAATTTAATATTTACATAATAAATTCATGTCTTTAGTTTTCTTTGTCCATGTTACTATTCTGGACAACACAACAGTCAATCTGCTTTCAACATCCATACCCAGAACCTCTCTTGTTTCTTAATAGCGTGGTACAATTTATGCAATATAATGTTAAAAATAATAAATTACATTTATACCCTCCCTCCGTCTGACCGTAACTGAAAGAATTTCTACATTTTTCTGTTCTGCATTACAAATTCAATCTTGCAGAATTTGTGTGTGTGTGTGTGTGTGTGAGTGTGTGTTATTATTATTATTATTTTTTGGAGACATTTTTGCTATAGGGTGCATGCACTCGCCAGACAGACAGAAAGAGACATAGAGACAGAAAGCAAGAAATCACCCCCCAGGGGGGATGGTCATGCCGCAGTCCCTTCTCCTCCATTCTCCTCTCAGGATCTTGGGCACTCACACACTCGCGCCTGGCATGAGTGCTAAGCCACCGGGTCCGGGACGCGAACCATGGTCGACTACATGGGAGTCCAGCGACATAGCCATTACGCTAACTGCTGGTTCCCAAGTGTGTGTTATTTTTTTGTATAGGGTATGTGTGTTCATCAGAGAGAGAGAGAGAGAAAGAGAGTGAGAAGTCACACCCCCCACCAGAGGATAGCCACACTGCAATTCCTTCTCCTTATCTCGGGATTTGGGACGTGCATGCATACTCACCAAGTGTGCTTTTTAGGCCACCAGGTCTGGGACTCAAACCACACAGCCAGTCATGTGGGATCCAGCACCTTAACATCCTTGCCGCCTACTGGCCCCATAACTCCTCAACTTCTTAAAGTGGTTAAAAAGTACAGACACTGAGATGGTGTCAATAAATCATTGAAAAGTGAAGTAGAAACACTTCCAATTCAAATTACATTCATGAGATTTTATATGTATTCTCTACTGAGCTTTAAACCAAATAACTAAGACGTTAACATATTAATTGTTCTATATGAAACCATCAAAATCCCAATCTTATTCTTACTTTATGTGAGAAAAAATACAAAAAAAGAAAAATGAACAAGGAAGTAGAAATAGTTAAAAAAAATCCATTGAGCAGTATATCAACGTCATTCATAGAAACTACATATTTGTAGACAGGTGGCATTAAAAGAAATTTTAGATGAAATTTTAGAACAGTTCATCATTTCTCAGAACATTTTATAAAACTCTTCTGGGATCAGCAGTTGGTGTAATAGCTATGTTGCTGAACTCCCATGTAGTGACTGCAGTTCAAGTCTCGGACCCAATGGCTTAAACTCACGCTGGGCACGTGTGCGTGCGTGCCCAAGACCCCAAGAGGAAAATGGAGGAGAAGGGATTGCGACGTGGCCATCTCCCCTGGGAGTTGGTGGTGATTTTTCACTTTCTGTCTCTCTGTCTCTCTCTGTCTCTTTCTGGCGAGTGCACACGCCCTATAAGAAAAACCTCTCAAAAATAAATAAATAAATAAATAAATAAATAAATAAATAAATAAATAAATAAATAAATAAATAGAAAAGTCTTCCACAGAAATGACTGGATGTTGTGTCGGTGGAATGAATTTGCTACCACTGCTGTGATTACAGTGATTCTCCAAAGTGAGCTGCAGGTCTTATTAAGGCAATTCCTTAGGAATGAAAGGATAAGAAAACCATTACCACTGTGACTTTACCAAATAAGAATAGTCTCTCTACCTATCTTTTCCATATTGCTCCTAATAACATTGTCTAGCTTTTCAAGCTGTTTGCAACATCTCAGTAAGGCAGCCAAGATAATATTTAAGATGAATGTATTCCCTAACCCTCACAGTAACACACTCAGTAGAAAATCATCAACTTCTACAGTTGTATTACTTTTTGTTATCATTCCAAGGTATAGAAACTCTGAAAGAGCTGAACAGAAATTTTCAACCAATTATACCCTTGCAAATAACTTGCAAACAATGGTTTCACATTTAAATTTTTGAGTTTTAAAGTAGTTCTAATATTATAAAATCAAACTGTAAAAAACATATATATAAATACTACGTCCTTTCTACAAAACGAAGTGTGGTTGATGTGAATGTTTTTCTATAACCTCAAAATACAGAATGCCTGCCTGTGAAAAATATAAACATCTTTTACTATTATCCAAGGAATCAATGAACTGTAACAGATACTGTTACATTGACAAGCTCAAATTAACTGCGAATTCTGATTGGTAAAGAGAGATGAGGCTCTTACAAGTAGTAAGAAATGACATCAATTTTATTGGCAGAAACATTCCAGCCTATAGTTTACTAGCATTCTCAGATTTCTTATGTAGTGCACCCCAAAAGAAGGCTCTGGATTTTTATTTTGAAATTTTCATTACACAGATACATTTCATTTCTTTTTTTTCCCCCAAGAAAATTTTGTGCGGTCCATAAATCATGAATAATCTTTCCTGGCTCCAATTTAACTCATAGGTAATGAGGTAAGGTTGAATATACTTGGTTAGGTTGTCACAACCTACATAGAGTTAGAAAAAAAAAATTAAATAACACTAAAAATAAAAAATCAAAATTTTCTCAGGAGCAATTGAATAGATTTATATTATTGAAATAATTCAAAAAAAAAAGATAGTGTCTTTTTCCCAGATCCTTGGATTATAGAACTTCATCTACTTACTGAATACATTAAGGGAGATAAACATGAATCAAATTAGTTTCAAAAAGCTGTACTCTTATTGATTGCCTCTCTAAACTTTATATTCAGATAAACTTATATTCTAACTGAAAGGACCCTCCTAACTGAATACTCCCTCTGGAAAACCAGAGTAACCCAGTTACACTTGTGAATGTTGACACTGTGTGTTTCCGAATGTATCAGTATTTGGCTCTGAAGTACTGTGATTCTTTTGGAAACATAATGGGTTTCAAATATTCTTCATTTGCTTTCTATAGCTCTCTGATATGCAGGCACTTAGATTTTGTATTTCCAAGAATGCTCTTAGAGAAAAGAATAGAGAACACAGGGTTTACAGTCCATCTCTGCAAAGTTACGTGTTTCTAAGTGGACCAGTCCACTAGGGCTCGAAATGTCCCTCCTATCCCAGCCTTTATTGACATTCTATAACCACCACTAGGTGGTTCGCGTTCAGGATCCAGTTTAAGAAAGTCTGTTCTACTAGGCCAAAGAAAGCAACACAGCTTAGCTTGGCTTCTCTCTTTGTCCATCCGCCTCTGAAAGTGTGAAATTGGATCAACTTCTGCTTAGATGTTCACTGCCACCTCTAATATCCATGGCCGGAATGCTGCAAAACATTCCCAAAAATCATAACTTACTCAAGATCTGCATTTTGCTTTTAGGAAAAGAGTCTAGCCTGGAAAATGAGAAATTGATAAAACAATGTAAAACCCCAAATTAAATGTAAAGGTCTTGTAGTTAGTTACTTCAGTAAGACTTCCTTCATGTAGAAGGAAGTTACTTACAAAGTAAGTAAGTATGTAACTTACAAAGAGATTTTTTTTATTAAAAAACATAAAGTTATTGCATTTTAGAAATAGAAGAGATTTATCTAATCTATTTCACCCTCATTATATAAATGACAAAAATGAAGACCCAGAGCATTAAAAATGACATGTCCACCAGCCAATAGGTGGCATAGTGGTTAACGTGATGGACTCCCAGATGGCCAATAATATTTCTAATCCCAGACCCAGCATGCATACCCCAAATCCTGGGAGAATGGATAAGAGAGGATTACAGAGTGGCCAACCCCCATAGGGGCTGATTTCTCAGTTTCCCACTGTCTGTCTTTGTTTCTCTCGAGAGAGAGAGCACACACACCCTATGGCAAAAAAAAAAAAAAAAACCTAAAAAGAAAAAAAAATTACATATCAAAAGTCATCTCAAAAGTTTGAGAAATAAATGGTGGATAATTCAGGTCTGTTACCTTAACTACTATTTATAATTCTCTGGATAATTCAGAGGATTCTTGAATTGGAGAGAATTGGATGTCTGTATTCAAGTAACTATTTGAACAAACAAAATTCACATAATACATAAAACAATATTCATATTGTATATACTAAATCAAAGTAATAAGATCGTATTAAATTAAACTATTTTGGCCTAAAATGGCCCCTTTACTCCCACACTTGGATTCCTGAAATTGTACATGTTAGACTGTTTTTTGCTAGGTTACAGTCAATCACAGACACCCCGTCTTTTCGACTATGTTAATGACAAACTTCAGAATGTAACCAGCCCGAGTGTTTCCCGACCTCATTCCTTCACTTTCGTTTTTGTAGGTCAGTTTCCCATTCCTACACATGTCGCTTTCCTTTCCAAAACTTAAATACTAAACTGACCATGAGGCTAGTCAGAGTTGTCTAGTAGTCTGGAGACAACCGCCACATTTAAATGTTGCTAAAATTCGCTCAATAAAACTCTATTAAATTGGTTTATCTTTCTTTTAATGGTTTCGGTGTCAGAAGTGGGATCTGAAGTAGCGCTTCTGGTGACCTTCCCAGGAGCAGCCAGTGACCAAGTGAAGCACCCGTAGGGACTCTTTGGTGTCCACTGCTCTCTTCAGCAACTGGGGACCGTGGGTAAGTTCTCTCTCAGATTTGAGCTCCATGGACTTGTGTTTAGAGCTCTCTGATTTTTATATGAGCAAATTTTGGTCAAAACTAGGTTTGGAGATGCAATAGACTGGACTCGGTCAAGGATCGGATTGGATTAGGTAATCAATTGGATTGAATCCAGTTGTTTAATTGGGTCAGAAAGACACTAGCAGTCAGGGGAACCAGCAGTTAGCGTAATGGCTATGTCGCTGGACTCCCACGTAGTCGACCGTGGTTCGCGTCCCGGATCCGGTGGCTTAAAACACGCCGGGTGCGTGTGCGTGCGTGCCCAAGATCCTGAGAGGAGAATGGAGGAGAAGGGATTGCAGTGTGGCCATCCCCCCTGGGGGGGTGATTTCTCGCTTTCTGTCTCTCTGTCTCTCTCTGTCTGGCTGGCGAACACACGCGCCCTATAGCAAAAACCTCTCCAAAAAAAAAAAAAGGAAAGAAAGACACTAGCAGTCAGTAGCTATTACTGTGGTGGATGCAACAAAATTTTAGGTTTAAATTTCTTTTTCTTATGAGATTCTTAGTTTCTTTTTTGCATGCTTAGAGAAAGATCATTGACTAAATTAGTCAAGGAGAGCTCAGAGCCAACACTAGGATATATTATTTCCCACTTAAGTTTTTCTTGGTTTGAAGAGACTCAAAATTGGAATTTCTGATTCTAAGGATCAAAGTACTTCCTGGTAGTGACAATATTTACAAAAGTGGTGAGATGTTAGTAACATGATTTGGAATTACTATGGCCATTATGAAGAACATTCTATGTAAACAAAATCACTTTTTAAAAGGTATAATTAAAATTGAGGGTTCCCAATTTAAGTTCATCCAGCGATGCTATTGATATGCAGAAACTTCTAAAAGATTTAGTTCTATTTTATATTCTTCAAGACTATAAAAGATAAATGACAAAGTGACATTAAATAATTCTACCAAAGGTTTTACTTTGTTACCAGCCTGCCCCAAGCAAAAAGAAAGCTAAATAAAAGAGTTATTAAACTGGTTTAAAATACACCTACAGGTCAAATGAGGTTGTCTCTTGTTCAGGAATATCCTTGCTGAATAATAAGCATTGGAAATGCTTTCTTTGCCTTCATTCGTGGACTCCACCTTAAAATTAGTAATTAAGAAACATGCTGAGTTTAAAAGTCCATACATCAATTAAATTGGTCTTCAAAAATACAATTTTGTGACAATTTAGTGGTCTATTCAAAAATCTTAGGAAAAACTTCACGTATTTGTAAATACGTCCTTGTTAACTCACTAAAATGTTTCACAGTGGAAAATGCACAAGTTTAATTATATAACATAGGTTCGCTGCATGCAGCGCAGTTGTTCAGTGCACAGAAAATCCCAGCCCCTGTAGCGTATTGGCTATGTCGCTGGACTCCCATGTAGTCGATCACAGTTCGAATCCAGACCCGGTGGCATAAAACTCACGCCGGGCGCGTGTGCGTGCGTGCCCAGGATCCCGAGAGGAGAAAGGAGGAGAAGGGATTGCCGAGTGGCCTTCCCCCCTGGAGGGTGATTTCTCGCTTTAGAAAAAAATAAAGGCCTATGTACACATGCCTCAGTGATTTTCCCTCCTTCTCAGTCTCACCAGGACACCTGCCCTCTGGCAACTCATCTTCCTAACAATCCTCACCTTTAGTCATCACGTCTCTTTTATGTGCCTTTAAAATATAAACTTTCTACTTTGTTTAACCTATGAGTTGTACCTATCAAATACATACTTAGGGTTTGAACAATTAATTAATGGCAAAATTAACAATGAAAAAGCAATGCTAATATCCTTATTATTAAGTATGCACACAGAAGTAAAAGCAAGCTACTCATTGCTTTGATAGACTCAGAAGATAATCTGATTACCTCAGGGAATTAGTCATAGCGGTAAGCAGTTTCTATCAGGGCAAGCAGGGAGGAATGACGTTTCACTTCTTCGCAAAGGGTGTGAAGATAAGCAATGACTGGCAAGGAGGCAGAAGACAGAATGGAGCTGATCAAGGCAACACTCAGACCCTCAGTTTGAGGTGTCTGCAGGGTTAAAATATGAAGCATTCACATTGTGGGGAGGAAGCATAAAAAGTAGATCTTTTGTGTGTGTGTGTGTGTGTGTGTGTGTGTGTGTGCATGCATGGTATGTTGTATGTCTGTGTGATAACAAGGCCTTAAGGAATTCCATTTAATTTATAAAAAGAGTGCTCATACAAATGAATTTTGGGAACCAGCAGTTAGCATAATGGCTATGTCGCTGGACTCCCACGTAGTAGACCGCGGTTCACGCCCCGGACCCGGTGGCTTAAAACTCACGTCGGATGCGTGTGTGTACGTGCCCAAGATCCCTAGAGGAGAATGGAGGAGAAGGGATTATGGTGTGACCATCCCTCCTGCGGGGTGATTCATCGC